TTGTGCCCCTGTGCTTGGCACTGGGGAGGCTGCACCTGGAGTACTGTGTTCAGTTTTGGGCCCCTCACTACAAGAAGGACATTGAGGTGCTGGAGAGTGTCCAGAGAAGGGCAGCGAGGCTGGTGAGGGGTCTAGAGAACAAGTCTTATGAGGAGCGGCTGAGGGAACTGGGGTTGTTTAGTCTGGAGAAGACGAGGCTGAGGGAGGGCCTTATTGCTCTCTACAACTACCTGAAAGGAGGTTGTAATGAGGCAGGTGTTGGTCTCTTCTCCCAGGTAACTAGTGATAGGACGAGAGGCAATGGCCTCAAGTTGCATCAGGGGAGGTTTAGATTAGATATTAGGAAAAATTTCTTTACTGAAAGAGCTGTCAGACATTGGAACAGGCTGCCCAGGAAGCTGGTGGAGTCCCCATCCCTGGAGGTGTTCAAAAAACGTGTAGATATGGCACTTCAGGATATGATTTAGCAGGCATGGTGGGGCTGGGTTGATGGTTGGACTTGATGATCTTAGAGGTCTCTTCCAACCTCAGTGATTCTGTGATTCTATGATTCTATCATAAATATCTTCTTCTTCATTACTTATTCTATAGGCTGTGAAAATTAGCACAATAGCCACGCAGAAGTGCCTTTGCTTTGATGAACTCCATTTTGAACATAACTGGTTTTTGTTTGGTTATTTTTTAGGGAAGGAGGAAAGTGGGAGTTTAGCTATTTTTTTGTTTTCAAAGTAAAGTGGTTTTAATTATCAGTAAGGGCCATTCAGATGCACCCATGGAAAGCCTGAGGTCAGCTGTATTTAGGAGCTGGGGTGTGGAAGCCGACCAGACTCACTTTGCTGGGCATGGAGCTCCCTTCATAAAAGCTGTGCAAGGCTCCCAACACCTTTGCATTTATCTAGCCCATCAGGATACTACATTTTACCCTCCTCATGCATTTTTAGAGCCATAAATTTAGGTTCTAACCTGGCACAAGTTTTCTCAGGGGTAGACTACCCATGCAACACTGCGATGAGTGGGACTGATGTTTATCCTGGCCCATTACTTGTGAAGACGGACTGCCATGTATTTTATTGTTCATTCAGCTGGATCCAGCCTGTTTTGTTTTCAGTGTCAAAAGCAAAAGCTTTAAAAAAACCCCAAATAAAACTGGTAAGTAATGCAGAGTAAGTGGCGGGGAAGAATTAGAGCGGAGAGGCTTCCTGGCCAGGCTCCCCAGAAAACGAAATGTGACCCAAGAGAGCTCTGCTCCTGATGTGACTGCAGCTGCTTCTCAAGGCAGTGCATTTCTTCAAGTGGCATTTAGTATTTTCTTGTGAGAGGCCCTGTGTAGGCACATAAGACCGTATTAAGCACTAATGATGTGTAATACATACATCACAGTTCTTGCACATACTTAACTATGTGTCTTGATAAAAAAGACTTCAGGATGCTAAATTTAAACGTGTTGATAGTAGTTCACAAGTTTGTAGTCTCATTTAACAGCGGGCAACGAATGGGAAAGAAGTGTATAACACAGTCACACATATAAACAAGATAGCTATGCATAATTTGATGGGTCTGAATCTTTTAACTTAGTCGTGATCTACATATACTCAGTCTGACTTTTCTTTGATCTAGATTTTCTAAAGCTAATTCTTTTCTTGTTTTTCCTCACAGCACAAACCATTCCTGAGTATCTTACAGAAAACTGACCTGCAATCCTATCACTGAAAAATGGAATCTACAGTGCTGAAGTAAACCAAAGCACATCAAATGCATAATGCTATTTTAAAAACAAAATCAAACTGAGGGCTTGGGGAAGGAAATAAATATTTTAGTGGCAATGAAGTTATTTATTCTCTGAAGACAGTTCCTCTAAGGCAGCTGCACCAGCCATTAAGGCAATTATATTTTTGCCATTTTCATAAGCTGCTTGAGAAATAATTTTTCTCCACTAGATTAATGCTGTGTCAGTTCTCTACAAAATCACTTCTGACTTAAGGGAATTTTGGAGATACATGTTGCATAATTATGGAGGTACAATCTTGGGATTTACTTCTTTATTATTTCTTTAATAGTTGTTTGGGTGGGACAACTTGGAATCCCACAGAAACTTCTGTGCCCCTTAGTTTGCTAATTTCCTGACCTAAGAGGATGCCATAGTAAGATTTCCCTAAGCAAAGAAGTGGTGAGTCTGCTTGTGATTAAGGTAAGTATGTTTAGCTTCGCTGCATCTATCTAGCTTGTTGTAACTTCAGTACAACTGAAAATGAGGTCAACTCCAGAGGTCCTCCCTGAGCAGTACCATAACACTCCTGCTACTTCTAGCAGCGTGCTGCGAATAGACAGAATAATTTTGTTATATTGTGACAGTCTGAAGACACATGGGAGATGATGTTCGTAAGTATCTAATAAAACATTGCTCCTTCCCACCAACACGAGTTCATTTATAGACCAGCCACAAAACCAAATTCTGAATTACTGAAAGGAAGTTAGAAGAATGACCTTAGGCAGGTATCTTGGCAAAGTGGCTCTTGAATAGCTGCCGCCTGGCAGGTGTTCGCAGCACCTGTGTTGCAGGCCCACGTCCATTCCACATCGTGCCAGGCTGCCCGACCCTATATAGCCCATAATGAGAGATGGGCATTTCAAGACTATTCAGACTGCTAAAGATACGAATTACCCTCTGGAAGTCCTCTCTCCATCATCTACACAGTGAAATATTTGCAGAAGAGCCAATACAGTACAGAGTACAATATATTTAAGCTGTTTTATATTCTCTTCCCCTGGCAGCTTTAAATTAGGGCTATCTGTTTTACTGCCTTTTTCCTCCCTTTAAGGAACCCAAACTTGCTGTTCTCTGATTCCAGGGATACAACTGCTTTGGGCGTTTTATTTTGAGCTTTGCACACTAACCTAACCAGTCTGCACATTCTGACACACTTCCCTGAATCAGCTGAGAATGGCTTTATTCCTATTCCTCATTAGCACAAGATAAATGTATATTTTTAAAATGAGGGTGACAGAGAGGACTAACAGGCAATGAATCAATTAACAGGTCTTGGTGGGGTTATTTGCTTAACCAAAGTGAGGTAAAATACTTCACCAAGGAATAAATGCAGTCCATATATTATAGCTGTGTTGTGAGGCTGATATTTAACTTCTTGGCAATCTGTGTTTATGCCTGTAAGGAGAAAGATTTATACTGCATATTTAAATAATAAACTGTTTCTTAAAATAGCTTCCAAAACAACATGGTGTTCTCTTCTTTTTTGTTAGTGTTAATATACATTGTTTTATTCAAACCAACGGAGTAACGCCTGCTTTCATAAACTAAGAATCTGGTCTGGAGTTTTCGTATCTGCTGACATCTGTTGTGTGCTGATGTTAGGGCAAAGTGTTTATCGCAGGACATGTATTGCCCTGCAATTCCTAAGTTTATTATTGGTACTCATTTAAAAGATAGCTACCTTGCACGGGCAAATAAATTTTTCTGCAGTACAGCCCTCACAGCAACATTCTCAATCCTGATGCCTTTCCTTTTTTTTTTTTTCCTATTTAAAAATACCCTGATTGCAGGGTTAGTTGGATGTAATACCCAACAAAGCTGCTAACACTGAGGTTCTCCCCATGATACCAGCAGGCTTACTGAGCTGAAGCATGCTGGAGTAATAGTCTACACCTGAAAAGCCATTTGACAATGATGACAATTTTGTGTGAGATAGAAATGATGGGAGATTCCAGAAACTTTCCCATTCTGCATGGAAAGAAAATTGAAGCTTTACTATTTTAAATCCAACAGAAAGACTCAGTAACCCAGAATAGCATGGACAGAAATCCAGCAGCATGTGAAAACTCCTGTTTTGGTGCCTGGTCTTAATGGCATAGCAAAGGGAGTTTATCATGTCACAGGAACGTCCTAAGAAGTACAGTGTATTTTAAGGATTTTTGTTTTTTTTTTGTCTCACTGTTCAGTTTTAGTTTGAAACTTCCCACAGGCTGTTCTCTTCCTCTGTGGCAGAAAGGGGCTCTAGGATTGGGCATAATCCATACTAATGCAGTCTGCATGAAATAAGGAGCAACAGTCTTCTGGCTTCTCATAAAAGAGGCCGTAGCAAGATCAGTGATGATTAGCAAAGATTAGGTTATACTACAAATGTTGGACTAATGCAAATGCCCTTGTGGCCTGTTTCTAACAGATCCATATAGCTGTGCTTACCATGGCAATTACGTATTTTATACGGTCTGCTAATGCAGGCATAAACTGCTTGTAGCACGTGCTACTATAAAGCTGTTCAGATCTGCCCATTTGCCAGAAAAAAAAAAAATCACTTTTAGACCTCATTGTTCACATTTACCTCATCTATCACATTTAGCATTTTGATTTTGTGAAAATGGTGAGAAGTCACACTAGTCTTTTCTAAATCCTTGTCTGGTAAGTACAAACCTTTGCAAGCTGTACAGGAAAATAAATTACAGAAGGATGTTAGACCATCTGCTTTTTATTATCTTCTTACAGGAACAGCAAAGATGATGTTATTAATCCTACTAATACTGTAAATAGAGCCAATATAAATATTAAAATTAATAACTATTAGGTTTAATATTTATTAATAATTTTTAAAGTAGTGGTAGATTTCCAAACTTTTAAATATCACTCAACTGGGAAACACTGCACAGTAAAAGTCAACAATGCAAGGAAGTAGCAGATTAAAATGTTCACATCAAAGTTATGTCAAGTAGAAGTTGGGCAAGGCATTTTCAGCACAACAATAAGGAGCTGCTGAAAAATGTGAAAGAAGTGAAAAGCGGTGAATTTGTTTGTTTGTTTTTGTAAAGAGAAAACTCTGAGATAGCATTTTAGCTCAAGGACTACAGTCTTAAATATTAAGAAACACACAGTGAATGACTGAACGTACAAATAGGTATTACGTGAACGACTCCTACACTACAGACCTAGTGAAGTGAAGGACCATACCGCAGGAGCCTCAGCCACCCACAGTAATCCCACTCGCCCTGACCAGAGCCCGTTTCTGCCTCCAGCAAGTGTTTCTGCCATGGCGCCTACCGCAGGACACTTC